GAAGAATTAAAAATCAGATCTTGGGAGTTTAAGGGTTAAAAGGAATTAGAAAACTTTGTAAAGGAAGGTAGATGCTGTAAAAGGGGCAACAAATGAGGGCATCAATCTAATCAGCAGCAAGGGGGTGACCATAGTAACCAAGCTAGAGCCAACCTCCAGGCAGCTGTCAACACATCACTTAAAAAAAAAACAAAAACAAGAGTGTGGAATAAATATTTGAGAATAAATGCTTGGAAGGGGAAGGAAGGGAAAAAAGAAAGCAAAGTACATTTATGGTTAAGTAAATTAAGTAAAAGCACAGGGTAATATCTCTGCATAAACATACTTTGGTAAAAGCAGCACATTAATTTGCTATCAACCTCACCTAAATGACATTTAGCCCAAGTTCATTATGATGACCAAGGCTGTGGTCTAGCAGTGCCTGTTGGCCCCTGGCACCTTACTTTTGCTCTTGGGTGACTCAGGAATTTTAGTTTTTTCATAAAAAGCATATGCTGGGCACCCTGGATTTCAAAGTTCCAGAGCACTGGGCTCCATTCAATTTTCCTTAGAGCACAGCCTTGATAACATGATGCAAAAAAAAAAAATTCTCAAGTAAGACATGAATGCAAGCTTCTAAATTGTTGGTCCCCTTTCAAACAATATATCAATTTTATGATCAGATAGAATTAACCAAACCTTGTTCAGATGAAACATCTCGCACAAGACTCACACTGTGATAACTTGTTTGCCTCCAGAACACCTAATAATCAGGAGGTACATAACATGGCATCAGTGCTGACTCACAGTATGTGATGGCACACCATCTCTTCATATATATTACCATGGTGTTATTTTTTACTGGCTGAATGAAAAGAAATGCAAAGAAATTGTTTCTTTCCCAAACTCCAGGGTTGAGGAGCTCAACTTCTTTTTAAACCCAACCATTTGGTGAACACAAATCATTAAATGTTCACTGAAAATAATGACAACTTGGACCAGTTCACAGATGCTAAATGACCAGTTTACTGATGCTAAATGAACGTTCTACAAGTACATATATTTTGAACTAGGTTGTACCGATTGATGAAGCCCTTATTATTGTGTCTTGCAAAGCTCTCACATGCATGTCATCCAAACCAAAGATAATTAGGTCATGCAACTGGGATATCAACATACAGCAAGCTTAATTAATATGACATATAACATTCTATATCCACCTGATGGAAAACATCAGCAGCAAGCTCAACAAATTGTGAAGTGAGTCCAGGATCCAATTTAATGCTGTGGAAGGAAATATGTTTTTTCAGAATGATAATAAGCTAGTTGTAGACTATGATAAACATATCACCAAAAAATCTTGACCTAGCTGCTTGACCTGTTCTGGCCCATAAATAATTCTCTCAGCTAAACTTAAATAATCCTCATCATACAAAATCCTCTTGTTTTCATCCCAGCCTATAGGGTGTTTGTCATCTTTCTAACTTTGCTGCTATGCTTCATCTCCGTCATTCAATTTCTTTTTAGAATCATACTTTTTTTTCCTATTAATAATGATGATAATTTGATATGTCATTTCCATGACCCTGGTAAGAGTAGTGGCAATGAAAATGGTTGGTATATAACTTAGTACATACCTTGAGGAACGTGGCACTTTGTTCTTTAGCTGATCTATATCAGCTATAACTGCTCCATATAATCTTTGGAGACACTCCTGGTCAGACAAAAGAAAGAAAAGCAAAATACCAATCTTTCATCCAGATGTCCACTTAAAAGTGAAAAAACTGACCCTAAATACGAGGAAGAAAATTCTGAACAATTTTGCAACAGAGAAAGATGTTTTCTGTCTTGTCATGAGCATGGGACAAAAAAGAAACTCCAAGTGCCCATGAGGAATTGAACCTCAGACCTTCAAATTCCATGTTCCGATGCTCTACCACTGAACCACAGAGATTCTATGTTGGGGAAGACCCATTACAAAGTTCACATATAGTTCACATACAGTCACATGTTCTGGATACTGCTAGGATCAGCAATATTATATCTTTCTCTATTTCCTTATGGGGCCCAAGACTTAATTTATTTATTTATTTACAAATATTTAGACAGGGCAGCCCACTTCAGCAAATAGCTGGTTTAAATGGGGCCCTGTGATGTGTGTACCCACCATCCCACCCAGGGGAGGACATCCACCAAACAGAAATCTCGTGCATGGGAAATTAACATCTCCTACCCCTAACCCTGCAGGAGACGGGACCTACGGTTTTATTCGTCCTTATCTGAGAAGACTAGGATATCTATCCATTTCTTGATATTATATATAGAAAGGTAGCAAATTCTCCTCAGTTATTTTAAAACCATGAGTATTGGTCCGGCTGGGACTCAAACCCTTGACCTCCCATACAACACAATCCAGCGCCCTAACCAATTGAGCTAACCAATTAAATTAATAATTTAACAGCAATCAGCAACTACTTTCTCCTTCACAGTTCATCATTGAAACTTTGGACTTTAAAATAATGTGATATAAACAAAACAAACCTTCCAATGATTGACACTACTGCTCCAGCCTCCTTCATAATCTTCATGAGCTCCAAACGGATGATGAGCACAAATCTGCATTCTCATAAACTGTATCAGGTGATCCTGCAATTTTGAACATTTTTACAGATGTTGCATCTAAAACACTAATTTTTAATTATACGTAAAACTCTGCTGCTTGTTTGATTAGTCACTCTCATGAGTAACCCGGGCATAATTTCTCCTTGCAAATAATGTCAAGGAGACAAGTGATCAGAATAACAAAAAATATCAATTAGGAGATTATTAGTTGATCCAATACCAAATTCTCCAAAATCACATCAGAAGAACTGTATGGCAGACAGTACGGGCAGGACTTGACAGTAACAGTAGCCACAGACTAGTAGAAATTCAGGTTTGGCTAGTGGTTTTTTAATTTCCACTAGCCAGTTTGGATAGTAAACAAAGTGAAATTGTTTTAACATCTAAGATGTCACCAGCCACTTGGCTAGTAAGTTGAAAAGTTATTGTTGAGCCCTGGAGGAGAATAGAATAACTAAATTAAACGAGGTCTTGGGAGAAAGGGGGTTAGGCAGTTACCTTTACACCCTGAGTTCTTTTCCACATTGTGAGCAAGCAAGGAAACACATTTTCTCCAAGACAACAGACCTGGCCGCGACAGTCATCTCCATTTGATTTAACAAATGCATTCAGTGCAGCAAGGATGTGTTCCACAAGAACAATGTTACTATCATTCCTTTAAAAAAAAAAAATTAAGAGAAAAAAACAAATGGTTACAAAAAAGTTTGGGAAAAAAAATACCGTATTTTCTTGGTTATAAGGTGCACTCGGTTATAAGACCCACTCCAAACTTAGCAACTTAGTCAAGCCAAGTTCCCAAACTGAAAATTACATGAAAATACTGGGTTATAAGATGCACCAAAAGGTTGAGAGGTAACAAAAGTTGTGATGGATCTGAGAAAGTTTCACGGTTGCTCTGGTGGTGAAAGCAAATGGCGTAAAACTCCCACCAAGTCATATTCATAGGTGTTCGACAGCTGAATATCAAGACACCACTTAGGATTCCAGTTTCAGTGCATAAAAAAGGCTGGATGGAAGTAGAAGGCAGGTTTTATATCCATATCGTTTATTCAGAGAAGGAACTTTTAGACCAATTGAGCTAACCAGGAGGTGATTCAAACTGAACTTTTTCTTTATTTTTTGGAAGCAAAGCTGGGTGAAACTAAATTCACACAAAAAAAAGAAATCATTGCAAAAGTGCTTTGAAAGTACACCACCTTATCTAGGCCTCTTTTCCCTTTTTCATTCTTAGGTTATGGCTGTGCTGGCACAGGAAGGAAAGTTCAACCAGATTTAAATGTAACATTTTATTCATCATGACAGATATTACGTACCAAATCTCCCTCAAGATCTGTTCAAAAAATTTAAAGAGTTGGCTTCCCTTGACTGTGTAAAGGGTGGCTGCCCCCTCAACTGAGAGAGCAAGTATCTGTGCCACTGTTTGTCGTCCATTTGACAACCATCAAGGTTTTCCCTCCATAAAGGACACAAATGTAGGGATCAATTCTAATAAGAGTTTAACAAGGCAATAATTAGACTTGACTGTAAATGTCTCAAAATTCAATGACACTGAAACTCTACCAAGGGGGGAAAATATCACTCACAGCCAGTTCCAAGTACAAGCATGTCTTATCAACAGAGTGACCAAAATTTTTCATGCAATATACACAGGAACTTCTTACTATTTTTTACCAGCAATAATATATCTATGAACCCTGTCAGAAATGCACAACTCCAACTCAAACTTTTTTGCACCCCTCTTAGTCCCCTCATAAGGTTGACTAAGCTTAAAACTAAGATTTTATATTGCATTTCTGTCAAATAATACCGTCTCAATAATTCTCATACCTTTCCATGTCTTCTTGGTGATGTCACGCTGATATGATGGAACAGCCAGGATGTTCTTTAAGTGCCTGCAATACTCAAGACCCATCCGGCTGGCATACCTAGGCTCTTTGAATATTGTCAAAAAATGACCAACTACGTCTTCTGCCTTCAAACGAGGACCTCCTGGAAAGTTCATAATAATGTATGTCTAGTCTTAACTCCTTGAAGTGTTGTGTGACTTACAAAAAAGGAGAAATTATTCATGAGTCTTGCTTAACCTAATCTTCCATGCCTAATACAAAACAAGTTACACTAAGATTCAGAGTGCAATAACAAACATAATTTTTATTTTATGAGCTTAGAGACTCAACTTCTGACATTAAAGTCTGCAAGTATGGCAACTGAAGAGAGAAAACTTACGCTCGTCTGCTTTCTTCAAGAAACCTCGCACAAATGTTACAATTTCCTGTCACAGAAAGTATAACAACCCTGTTGTTAATAGCAGTTTGATGAATGCATTGTGTGTTGTAGATTAAAGAATATAATGCACATGCTTTACCTAATAAGATTCTCAAAACAAAAGTCAATTGTCATACCTCTGAGTAATGTTTTTATTCATGATTTGTAATTGCTGATGTTTTTATTTATGATTTGTAATTGCTGAGAGTCTCCTGTTTCATTTTTTGCACTCAGTTACCTAACTTTAATATCACCTTTTGTCTCTTTTCAATAGTTTTAAGGTTCTCGATGTAATCCACCTCAGACACAACAAATATTCCAACACTCTTGAATGCACTATCCCATGTCAATGCTTTCTTCTTCTTTTGATCAGTGTTCTCATCAATGATACTTAAGACTTGTGACGAACGCAACTGCTGAAGGATGTTATTTGCAGCATTCTAAAACCCAAACAGATATTGTTTTACTAAAAGTCCTTGTTTTGCTATCCTTAATTATAAACTGAAGACAGTTACAGTCCAGCCTCCATTATTTGGACTCATTGGGACTAGACAAAAATAGTCTGGATAATGGAGGGTCCAGATAATTGAGAATATGAACATTAATGAGGAAAAAAAACTGATTAAATCAAGAAAGTGACATTTAATCATGAAACAAAACATTAACATTTCGTTTTGAAAAAAATATGGTCTACATCTTTACCCATCTCCAAGCCCCCTTCCATCCTATGTGATAGCATTCATTGTTAAATTTCCTGTGACTCTTATTTTTCATCTATACAAAAATCTCAACGAAATTTGTATTTATCTACTGACACATTCTATCACAAATGCTGCCAACTGATTAACTACCCTATTCCCTATCTATTCCCTGAGAGAGAGTAGCATGTAGCATGATTGATCTATCATTGTGCACAAAAACCATGAGCCTGTTTTGATGTTAATTTTTTTTTTTAACAAATCAATTTATGCTATAACAATAACATGATTTCCTCTCAACTTCCAATGTCTGTAACACTGGATTGTGAGTTTGCCCTCATCAGCTATCACGCGATAGAAATCTTAAGCTCAAAGTAATTTTTCAACAAAAGTTCTGTGCAGATACAGTACTAAAGTTCCAATGTGATATCAAGAAAGCTGAAAGCTTTGGAAAAATATAATGCAAGCGTTTTTTTTGGCACACAGAACAGAAATCCTTGAGCTAAGCGTTGAGCTAAGTTCTGCACATTTTATAGAATTAACAGGCAGTCGTTTTATTGCACCTAGAACTAAAGAAGAAAAAACCACATGGTCGACGACCTCATATTATTAGAATTCAGATTTCCTACTTAAGAGTTATTCTACTGCTGAATTGCTGCTCTTCACTAGACTGCGCACGTACAAATGGGCCACTTTTATCAATAAAATTGTCACTTCAATGACTAATTCCTCAACTGAAGTTTGATCAATATTTTAGTTCCGATATTCTTCGCCCTGACAGCTCACATAAAACATGAACCTGGAACTTCCCAAATAATATTCCTACCCGTCTTTCTGTGCGAGTGGCGGCTTCCAGAGATGACACCAGAGTAAATTGATGAGAAATTTCCCGTATCGGATCTCCAGACATTATCCAAGATGTTAACAACAGGCTTACACTTCATCTGAAGGACCATTTCGACGTTACCTTCATAGAGAAAGCATCAAATTCCGTCATAATTCCTCATCTAGAGCCAGACTTGCAAGGCGCATATGTTTTGTAGTCCCCAGATCCTTTCTCGTGAACTGTGAGAAATTTACCCGCGAAAAAAATGCCTTCACTCGGGGAGGGGATAGGGGGCAACATTTGGTACTTTCGTTATTTAGTGACAAAAGGAAGTAGAAAGTTTGGTCGTTTTTTACTGCGCATCAGATTTTATCTTTGACAGGGTTATCATACTAAGTTCTCAAGTACACCGATACATATAAGGTTCTACTCGTTTCTCTCGCACGGATGAAAATGTGCCTTAAACGGCCTTGGAAGGAATTATATCTTTTCCCCCACCCCTCCTTAAACTCTTAACACCGGTATCTGCTTACCCCCTGTCACAATACCGGCATCTGCGGTACTAGTCAAATAGAATCGCAAAAGGGAGTGTTCTCCTATTCAATAATACTTTCTCCAACCTAGTACTTCTGTGAAACGACGACGAATAACTCAATAACTTATTGCTGAAGGCCCACTTATCTCAAGAAGTGAGAGAGGGGCTGGGGGTAGAATCCATAGCACTAATTGGCAAGAGAAGCGTCACGTTTCGCGGTCAATTACAAAAGTGCATAGTTTAAGACAATGAGATATTGCTCTGGGCAACTGGATTTGAATTGAATTGTGTTCCACGTCGACAACAACATGAAATGCTGACAACTTAGGAAGAATACCAGCGTTCGAACGAAGAGCTCTCATTTAACGTGCTACTTGACTAAATTTTGTGTTCGTGAAAATGAAACTTGCAAAGACGGAATTAATTATTTACCATTTCTTGTCATTCTGTGCCTTTCACGGTCTGTCTAACGGACAGGATAATGCAGAAAACAACGCTGATTCAACACCGATTGAGGATACTGCTCAATTCCACAACGAAAATCAGGAAAGAAGGCAAGTTATGTAATGGCTATAATCTCAAAGTTAAGATGTGCGACGATACTTTCTTAAATTGTGATTAAAACCCTTCTGATCTTATTTAAGGTACATTAGTAAATATATCTTTTAACCTTGTTCAATTGAAGATAAATTCAATTCCTGAGAGCACCAAACACAAATCAAACCTGTATATTCTTGATATGTTGATGAATATGACCTTAAAAAATGGTCCTTTAACATCCAAAAATGTATCCAAAATGCATGCATCCAATCTTTCTATTACAGGTTGTAAGAAAAAATTTTTAAAATTAATCTTCGGTGAGACCTTTTCTTAAGATTAAAACAACCTTCTTGAAAAATAAGAGTAATCACTCCATTTAGGAGACGACTAAAAATTTTTAAGAAAAACCTATCATTTTTACTTTTTCTTGAGAAGAGAAATATTAATCTTTGAGTGATGATAAGATTATTAATTTTTTTGTTTGACCAATAAATTATGTTGATATAAAGCTGACTGTCAAAAGTGGATGTGTGTGATATTCAAGTTAAATTGAATAAGGAATTGATTTCAGAAAAATTTTTTTCTCTCTTTTATTTACTCTGCAAAACAGCTGCTTAGATAATTATTTTTAAAGATATTCCACATTATACCAAAGTATATAATTGGAGATCATGGAAAGAGAGCCATCAAACACACTCCCCCTAACATTAGCTATTTCTATTTTATTCAATATGTATATATATATTTTTTATTTTAATGGACAAATCTTAGCAGCCAGGGTTATGTGGAACTCTCTACTTCAATCTCAGAACTCTGATTGCAACTGTAAAGAGTGATGTGGCTGAGCTATTTAAAAGCTGTTTCAACAAAACAATTATTTGTTATTCATTGTTTCTCTCTTTTAAGACATTTACTAGCTCATCTTGCTGATAGAATGGATCTTGATGGAGAAGGTTTAAGGTATTAACATTTTTTTCAACATTTTTTACATTGCTAAAGGCTACTACAAAGTCAAGGAAACATTCAAATCTGCTTTGTTTGACCCTTCCACCTTTCAACCCTGTGTAGGCCAAGTTTGGGTATTTTTACAAAGTTTAGAATATTTAACAATTATTCCATGAGCGCATGTTGGATATGAGATGATAGATAGCCAACAAGCTAGGCGCGTAGCACCGAGTTGGCTCCAATCATATCTTATTACACAACTCGGGCAGTCAGAGGGCCAATAACTAAAATCAACCAATCAAAATGCTCTATTGCCGGTCAATATTCTCTCAGTATTGGACCGGGCACTGTCCCGAATGGTCCCGAATGATACCACACTTGTGTCCCTTTGAACTTCAGTCATATAATAAATCTCCTATTAACCAAGCTTGCTTGGGACTGTACTGGAAGAATATCGGCCCTCGGTATTTTTTGTACGGACCTCGGGCCGATATTCTCCCAGTACAGCCCTCGCACTTGGTTAATAAGATATAATATCCAATTATTCCGAGTGGAATAATTGTTTTTATTAAAATCATTGAATTAAATTATTAAAT